TGTATCAGCAATAAAAATGACTTTTTGGATCTAGTGCCCCCTGGCGGCACCATTTATACGTCGATTGTAAATCTGCTGTCTTTACCGATTGTCCAGTGATAATTTCATGACGTTTCATTGATTGGATGTGGAGTTATTGCGTTTAAAGTGTCAGTAGCTGGAGTTATCGGTGCGAAAATGAACTTCGAACAAAGAGCCAACATTAAATTTTGTCTTAAAAGTGGTAAACCTTTTACCAAAACGTTTCAATTGATGAAATAAGTTTATGGCTATGATTGTCTATCCCGGAACAAGTGGTTTAAACTTTTTCAGAGTGGCCGTGAGGACAAAAATGACGATCAACATGTGGGCCAATCAAAATCCGTGATGACCGGAAATTCCATCAAACCTGTGCGTGAATTCATTAAAAATCAGCCGAAATCATCATCGRAATTTATGGAAATGGAAAAACATCCAAAACATCGATTTATCGCATTTTAAAAGAACAGTTGGACTTACGAAATGTGTGTGTTCCACACAAATTGACTGACGACCAAAAATTGCTCAGAATGCAACATTCGAATGGCGATTATTTAGCCAAAAATCACATTTTAACCATTAACCACTCCCGTTATTCACCTGATTTGGCCCCGTGCGACTTCTTCCTTTTCGGAAGAATGTATTTGCCCATAAAAGAAAAGCGTTATGCAGCCGTAGAGGCCATTCAAAAGATTTCCACCGGTATACTGCTATAGCGGCCATAACATCAAATGAGGTAAAACACTCATTCGACATGCTTTTCGACCGTGCAAAAAGCTGTGTTGTAGCAGAAGGAGACTAGTTTGAATAAAATAACTTGAAATAAATAACTTTGATGGATTTTTTTTTTTTTTTTTTGTTAAAGTCCTGTTAACATTGGAAGGCACTTTGTATGACACATATGAGTTCGTGGTGGGTATATTGATTCATTTTAATTATATCGGGAATTTTCGGCACAATGGATTGCGGTAATACAATTTGAACCGAATTCTTAAGTGCTTGAAATTCAAAAATGTTGGTTAATTGATATTCTTCAATGAAATTTAATTAAGATTTCGGCTGCATCGAAGCYATAAGGAAATGTTCTTTTTGGATTATATTTAGAGYCAAAAAAGTCTTATCATCTGTTGTCAATAGATGTCGTTGCATTCGTAAATTTCCAGTGATAGCAATTACATTGCRGCATACCATATGGACTTGCAAAAGTGAGATTATAAGTTTAATTTCGTGTGTGGGGTGTTTTCGTGGTACAACTTCCAATCGGCTGCGATGTCTTGTCGGACTCAATTGGTCATTCGTTTGAGTATCTTGAGGACTTCCACGCAAAACGTTGACGGCTTGTCCTTGAAGAACAAATGCATGGTGGACTATGCCTTTGATGTCAAAAAAAGACAATGAGCATCGCTTTCACTTTGGATTTGCTCATTCTACCTTTCTTCATTAGCGTGCTCTTCTGGTCCCTCCAAAAAGATTTTGTGCCACCGAAACACTCCACTTCTTGCTAAAGCAATATCTGGGTAAGCCTGACAAGACAACTGACTAGCCGCTCGTTCGTTAGCTAAGGACGCCATCTACCGAATCCAGCTGGTGCGCGCATTCTCCGAAGTACAATGGGGGTGGAAGAAATATGTCCTATTACATTTCGGGCAAACCCTTTATATCTCATTTCAGGATGATTTTAATTCAATAAATATGRCAATAAAACTAAGTGAGCCTCTGGCATGCAATATAACTCAATAAAATACCACATTTGATTGGAATCTATTTGCGATTTCGAATAATAATGAATTTTGGATTCCTTCGACCRATTTTTCAATACAAAATTTTGCCAACACCTGCAAGTATTTCGCCGGCTTTGGTCCTTGAAAGTTGCTTGGAAGAAGTTCTAACCAAAACTGTGTTTATTTGTATAATTACAATGGACTACAAAAAAAATTGTTTGTTTGGTGCAGCTTTGTCCGTATCTGTAGTCGGTAAAGTAGGTAGTATTAACTGTATTKCTGCAAGTCTCATTTAATTTTTTCCAGTTTTATTCTGTCTGTAAGTCTGTCAATCTGATTATCACTTYTATGAGATTGATAGTACAAATTTATTACGRAAAGTAAGTCGAGTAGTTGCAGTAATGATCCCGCAAAGTTGGTTGTATATGCGGCGAGTATATAATGAAAAATCAACGGAAACCGATTAATGACATTGTAATTCGCATGTATTCTGCTTACTTTGGTATTGAAATTGGCAGTCAAGATAAAGCGTGAACGAGAACTGAAAAATATGACTGATATTTTTGTATTAGCTCACAAAATATACCTAAAATCAGGTCTAGAATCTTAGGCACCAAAATGAGTGTAGGCCAGTGTTATTTATGGTATCTGGCGCCGCTTGATTCAATTTTAATTTCTATGCTTTTTTATGCTGCACTTCAACATTAATTGTTAATCCGGTCGACATTCGAACGCATTTAAGTATTTAATTGCGAAACAAAAATTTGCTCGTTCAATTAGATCTCATCAGTTATTAAACATGCGCTATTGCTGTCTACTTATAAGGAAAATTATTTCATTAAAACTTTTTATTATTCAGAGTTTAATTGTAAACAAATATTTTTAGACTAATAAATACAATTGAAATGATTCGTAGATAACCTTTTATAATATCGAGTTTATAAGCGTACAGGGTCAGTCATTTAATATACCGGTATGCATTCCATATATTAAAATATTTACGTTCGATTTGAGAAAATTTAACACAGCATACATTTGTATACCCTTTCAACATGTTGTTTTGACTTCATTATATTAAAAAAACTACAAGCGCCTCTTGGAATAGCAAAATCGTCTCAAAGTGATATTTCGAAAAAATTTATTTTGCTAAGTTGGTAAGACTTTCCTTAATTTTATGTCAAATATGAGAGCAGTTTGTTTTAATTTGTTTTAAGTCGATACACCTCAGTAGTGCGTTGMGATTTTTACAATGATAAAAGTRTCTATCAAAGAATTTGCCTCAAATTTTGTACTTTCAACCAAATTTCGTGTGCGGAATCATTTTGAAATGTTAGAGAGATGGAAAGAGAGCTCGACATCGCTCTCGTTCGAATGATGGTGAGCATTTTGAGCACGAAACACGTTATTGCTCGACTGTTCCCGATAAAGCTGATTTTTTTTTTATCAAAGAGTACCGTAAACAGCTCACTCGTGGGAATTCCGATTAAAGATTCATGGAGAGCATTATAACTGSCGATGAGAAATGAAGCCGATAATAATATTACTAGTGAGGAACACTAGAACGCGATGATTAATGACTTTTTCGTTCCTGCATTGGAGGATGTTGTTCTGGATGTTTTTGGTTCCAACAAAGTGACACTACATGAAGGGTTTTTCGGGAAAGTAACAGGACTGAGTTAATTAAACAACAATTATTGAACCAATCGTAAGAATTTTCAAAATATTCTCCTTCTAGACGGAAGGTATCCTGCGCGATAGCCTTGAGATCCGAGGTGCATGCTTCTTGGATCCCCTCTGTCGTCTCAAAATGCTTGCCATTCATCGGTCTTTTCAGGCAAGGAAACAAAAAAGTGCGGGGGCCACATCTGGGATGTAGGTCGGCCTTGRTTAGGTAGGTGTTYACAAGAAAGGCGGTGTGCACTGCTCGTCAATGAGCACTTTTGGGACCATCTTTTCGCACACCATGAGCTTGTTTAAGAGCTCCATAACAATGTCATGAACCACAGATTTTGACAAATTTAACATTTGGTAACATATGGGTAAGTCTGTTTGATCATATCAAACGTCTCTGTCGCAGATTTACCGAGAACTTAATCGCGTAACTCTTCTCGAACGCTGCATTTTCGGCTTACACCACTCACTCGGTGCTCGGAGACAAYTGACCTTGCTCGTTCGTTAGCTTGGAACGTCGCGTTGGAAGTCGGAAATCAGTCTCATTCCTTTCCGGAAAACCCCCACACATGCCGTGCAGCCAATGAAACGCACAATTTATTGAAGAAGACTTTTGGTTAGCGCATTATATCGCGTCGTGAGTCTGTARCGTGGTCTCCACGGTCGTGCCAWTAAGTTATATAAACTTGTCTACGCGGAACTCAAATGAATTTTCTKTTTGCAAATAAGTCAATCTCGCCATCMACAATTGAACAATAAATTTCAATGTAAAGTATGGCGATTTTGGCTTATTTTTGCAAAATGAGATGAGATTGSTTGAAATTTTCAACTCAAAACCTAATTTAATGTCAAAGTCAGTCAATATCGAAGTACCGAGAAAAAATGTTTGCACCCTGTGCACTTTTAAAAGAATTTTTATTGTTGCGCACTTCATGAATATCGAATAATTTTCTAGTTACGATTTTACTTAATATTAACAATTATTACTAAAACGGGTAGTAAACAACAACCAGTTCAGTTAGTTCATTATAATGTGTCCCATAGAAGGAAACCGTGGAAATATGTCGTCGTGCTCGCATTGACCAATTCTTAGAAAGTACTGAGGCGTTCGAGTAAGCCGCATGTARTTTGGATTACACTGAGCCTTAGTCAACTTAATACGTTGCAGTAACCGAATGAATTGTGTTGTTGACCTGGTWGGTGATAGCGGTAATGCATCACTAAATGAGAGCGTGCAAATCCGAGTCGTCACAAGTGAGGAGATGACACCGTCCAGCAGGGGTGTAGACAGTAAACGACAATTGTCACCAAATCAAGTAATAGTTTCGTTGTTTGAGTTGCCAACTGTTGACTGTCATATCTGTAAACTGCTAGCCGCAACTGAATACCTTTGGTTGTTCAATTTCCATTTCTAGAATTTCTAGACCTGCATATTTTCTCTATTTTTATAGAAAAACAATCACGTTCGATATTTCATTCCAAGTAATTTCCCTGAATATTTRTATAATTTAGATTATTGAAATATTTTCTAATCATAAATGAACAGCTATTTTAGTATATAAAAGCAAAGCGCTATTCCGGGTATATTCAAATCGTTAGTGGCTGTTCTAGAGGAACTTTCTTAGCAAATACTCAGAACCGTCCTTGAAAAAAAAAATAATAATAATAATTCAGTTAAAATGCGTACCTTCGGCGTTTGCTTAGTACTGGTGTTGTTCGTGGCGATGCTGGTCGGCAGCAGCGGTAATCCCGCCGGCGATAATGCTGCGCTCACTTTAGAGWCAGCCGCTCAACCGTTAACCTTGTCTGATGTCAACGACCAGCAAGGACATGAGAATGTAGGCGATCGCTTGGCACGGGGCCACGGAGGCCATCATGGTGGGCATCATTATGATGGGCACCATGATGGGCATCATGATTGGCATCATGGTGGGCATCATCATGGTTAAAGCGACTACAAATTAAAAAAAAAAAAACAAGTATACATATATATCTTTAATTTGAATTGTGAAAGTAAACATTTGATTTAACAAATTATTGAAATAAAACTAAAAAAAATCTTGCAAGAATTATTTTTGTGTTCTTTTTAAAAATATTCACGAAATACTGTGCAAATGAAATTTAAAACTCCTCAGTATCAGCTAATCCAATGTTAAATTAAATTGCTATCTCAGTGCATAGATATTTTAGAAGATCCAATGTTAAATTAAATTGCTATCTCAGTGCATAGATATTTTAGAAGATCAAGGATTTCATTGCCAAATATCTCAACTGTGTTAACGAATCTCTAAAGTTGATAGTATCTGCTGAGTTTTAGTGGATAATAAAAAAGTCGAAAATATGAGGTCAAAAAACTTAAAACTTGTTTCAGATAGATGTAAGTTCAGCTTAGCTAGTTACAAGCGTTAGTATTGCCTTGTAATTGTAGATGGTAAACGTTAACRGTGCTCATTAAGCGGTCAACGATACTCACATGCACTTGCAGCCATAGGCAGCCCCTGCAGAGCGCACCATAGCACAGCCTACAGACAATTGAATACACAAAATTTTTATTTAACAAACATAATTGCACACAGTGACAGTTGACGAGGCAATGGGGTGGCGAGGGGCTGTTTTGAATGCATGTTTTTTGTTATTTTTTATTTTTTATTTTTTTTGTTTTTATTTATATTTATGATTCATTGCAAACTACAACGCCAGCACCAACACCAACATTGACACCATCCGTCTTTCAGCTACTTTATT